GCTACATGTTGCTGTGTGATGTTGCGTTGTCATGGCAGCGAAGATGCTGCTGGGTGTTGCCATGACTTGTGTTGCTTGACTGGCTGTTGCGTGATATCGTATTGCTGATTTATGTTATGGTTGTTTGTGTGGGCTAAATTTCTTGCTGAACATTTAGTCCCCACAAATTATTTATAAGTAGCTCTATTTGTAATTATGTGGATCGTTACTCCTGTAGAGAACGTTTTAAAATTGATATTAATGATTTTTTTTTCAAATAATTTTCTCATATGTTGTTATCCTGTAAGTATAATTATGTGGATCGTTACTCCTGTAGAGAACGTTTTAAAATTGATATTAATGATTTTTTTTTCAAATAATTTTCTCATATGTTGTTATCCTGTAAGTATAAATATTAACACTAAGGGCCGGTTACTCAATATCTGGTTAACACTAATCTGCGGTTAAACATCGTTATCGACATCTTCGACTCCATGCATACAACAGGGAGTCGGTAACGTCGATAACGATGTTTAACCGGAGATTAGTGTTAACCAGACATTGAGTACCCGGCCCTAAGGCTGTGTTTCTTTATACATTCCGGATAATCCCATTTCACAGCCGGAATAAACAGAATACGTTTGAAATATACGTTAACATATCATCAGGAACATTCTAAAGAATATGTAAACAAAAAAGTTTATTCCACACGTTCAGAATGAATAAAGAAATGCAGCCTAATTTTTGTATAACGTGTTTTTTTTCCTGCTTATCTGTGAGGACAGTGTCCGGCAGATAATTAAACAAATAAATAAGTAAAAAGATATAAGCTCTGATATATATTGCTCTTGAAGCACTAACCAATTAATCAAGTAAGTCGTGAGAGTTCAGCTGGAACAAAAATGCTTCAAACAAGTATAAGAGATTCTCTGTACTATGGCCTCGAACCGACATATATACATCTTTCATTTGAATCAGGATTAAAATCTCTATTCGCTCCTACATTCGGGTTTTGATAGGCGAGTCTCCCCTTCACCGTTTTTTTTTTTTACATATTTTTGGCCTATGTGCGCTTTTATTCGAAACCTAAATGAGAGTGTTATATACTTGAAAAGTATTCGAGTATCGAGAATATTGGAAAAGTATTCACTCAGCATATCACTATTGCTGTCATCTCGACTGTGACGTCAGCAAAACAGCTGATTCTGTCGAATTCACTGAGAGCCGATTAGCGGCATCGCCATCGGCGCCACCTTCTGTATTCTCTCCACCGTGGGAACAGCTCGTTATAATTGTATCGAAAGTGCGCAACAGGAGCGTGCCTTCTCTTTTCATCCAATCATAAAACGTACTAGGGAAAAAGATAAGGCACGTCCCTTTTGCTCACTTTCGCTACAATTCTAACGTCTTCTTCTTCTTGTTATCTACGTTCCTTGGGGTTACTAAAAAAAAAAAACGCAAGCCATATTTGCAAGCATGTGAAGACGGCCGGTAAGTTGGGCAACATATTGGCATGCACGAAAGACACAAGGTCACGTAAGAACAAGAGCGTGAAAAAAGTCAATTTTTTTAGCGGGTTCTACGCCATCTTGTTTCACTGGAAAATGAGCGAAAAGTAAACAAAGCAAAGAAAACAACGAAAACCAAAATTAGCCAAAATTATTGTCAGCCACTTTAAACGCACAATTTAGGTAAAATGATGCAACAAAGTGCTTTAAAATGTGTTGTCATGTTGAACAAACTCTTCTTTACTTGAATAAAAGTGTAAAATAGTGGTGCTTGTGATGTAAACAAACCCTCAGCTGACGAACCCGCTTTCGCAAGCTTTTTTCTCAAAACCAGTTACAAATACAACGTCGCGTTCTTACGTGATCTTGCATTTTTGGTTCATGACTTATTGGCCTGAAAAATAACTTGGTTTACACCGGACAATATTAGGCATGGTTTATTCAACCATCACAAGCAATAGCTAAATCTTGGTCAAATAAAACGAAATTAGCTTATTTCCTATGTTAGCCTAATTTTGACAGTTGTTTGACTGCAAATAGTGTCAAAGTAAGTTTTTGCCTCTGTCTGATTGCCTGAAGGAGAAAATTTCTGATGCTGAATGGCAATGCCTCTTGTTCAATATACAAGCCAAGATAGCTTTTCATTTGCCAATATAATTATGTTGGGTAAGTCCTCCATACAAAATAAGCTAATAGCTTAAATTTCCGGACAAATAAAACACGGCTATTGTCAAGACAATTATGTCAAAATGATGTGTGTTGTAATTTGAATTCGCCGTGTTTGTTGTAAACATCATTTTGACATAATTATCTTGACAATATTGTCTGGTGTAAACCCTAANTAGTTTTTACGCAGTCTTCAACTCAAAAATCACTCACAAATTGCAAATTAACACAATTTAAACTGATTTTTCACTTATAATTAAAATTTCTCTTTCGCTGATTTGTAAACAAAGGTTATTTACAAGTTACCACAACTGTCAAAATCGGCAAAACCAAAGTAGCGGTATCACTGACGGCGCCACCTTTGTTCGCTGCACCGTGCTTGTGTGGTGTATTTCGCTCTTAAGTAAATGCGCATGTAGGCGCTTTTAGGGCCTTGTCACACGGTCAGTATTTATTGACGTGATCCAAGTATCGGGATATTTATTGACGGTGTAGCATGCAGTATTAGGTGCGTTTGTTTAAACTCTACAGCAGAAACCAACCAACTGCCAAATTTCGGCGAAATGTCATCTGTTCTCTCACAAGAGAGAAATATCCAAAATAGTACGCGAACAGAAAATTTGCAGAAACTTGCAAGTTAGACGAACAGCTGATATAATTTTTGTTTACATACAAAAGTGTAAAATTTAAAACGTACGAAAAGTCATCGCAAAGTGTTATACTGACACAGTTTATTGATTAAACAAATAACTACTTATTTCTTACAAGTTTAATTAGTCGCATTTTGTAATTTTTATCTTCCAAACCATCAAATTCAATTTTGTGATTTGCGTAAATGCCAACCAGCTGTTTTTGATCAGCTGTTTTCCTGTTGGCAAATTGCTGTTGGCAAAAATTTTTCCAGCAGAAACCAGCAGCTTCCCCTCAAAATGAAATGTCAGTTTGCTCTCTCAATTTCCCCTACTTTGCAAGTTTTTTGCGTACGCGAACGCAAAAACTTGTAAGTTTTGGTTAAACATGAACAATTAACAGCTACGCGAACGCACCTATTGATAGATCGTGATCCATATCACAAAATTTCTAAAAATTTTGAAATCTTGATCGCGGATCGCAATACCTTAAATAAATATTGAACGTGTAGCACTTTCAAAACGCGACCCATATATTTCGTCAGTACATCTTTTACCCCCATAATGCGAACATCAAAAACGTATTCACTCTGCCTTCGCTATCGGTGCTTAAACCCTGCAAGCCGCGTTTCGAACGCGTCAAAAGAGAGGAACATTGAATGTTTGAAAAATTCGCAGCGACAGAATCATGCAAGTGTGCGCTAGCTCATTAAAATATATGGTTGGCATTGGTGTAATTTATAGCTCTGCAGATTCGCAACATGTGAATCGCACTTATGTGCGCTTCGCTTTATGCAAATACTGACGCGATAAATATTGAACATCTAGCATTCGTACGATTTGATCCATCAACCCATCAATATAGATCGCCAAGAATGATAGAATTGGAGTGTTCACAGTTCGTTTCAAATTGTGTCTGAAAATGTAGACGTCTACATTTGGAGACATCTTTAGCATCAAACTGTGAGCACCCCTTTCTAGCAGCCGTCGCAAAATCGTCTCAAAACTTTGCTGGTGTTGCCAGACATTTCTTCTTAGCGTGCATTTATTATATGTAGCCTTCCGATTTTGTTTCTGAAAAATTGTAATTATTTAACTTAATTACCAATTCCTAATATTTGTTATTTCTTTTCCTTGATTTGTTTCTTTTCATCAGAAATTGCGCTCAAATTAAATGCAAATACAGAAAACGTGCCCAATAAAAAAAAAAAAATGTGATTAGTATTGCCATAATACAACCCTGCTGCGAGGTTGCAAAATGTAGACGCGTAAAAAACATACCTTTGAGTGTGACAAAATGTAGACGGCGTCGTTTTCCAATTTTTTATGGGAAACAACAACACCACAGATTTTACGGTTAGAAAACGTCTTAAAATGTAGACGTCTACATTTTGAGACACTATTTGGAACGAACTGTGAACACCCCAAATACAAGATTGCGCCGTCCTGGGCGTTGACATTTGTGTACCACAAGTAAACAAAGAATAGAGCGAAAAGGAGAACGAGTTAAAACTTCCAAAACAGTTCACTTTACAGCGAGAAACGTGTTTTAATTTTGCTACACGCGAAAATATTGCATTTTTCACCTAATCTATTAGAGAATAGGTAACATTTTAGTGCACTCCATTGCTTTGCAATTGAGGCTGCTTCAGCAAACGTTTTAGTGCACTCCATTGTTTTGCAATTAAGACTGCTGCAGAAAACTGCGGCAGCATCTCAGCAGGATTGATTAGTTAACTTGCTAATGGTGGCTGCTTGGAGCAGAAGCAAAATCATTGTGAGGAAATGCTGTTAATGTAATAATAAAGAAACATTTCGGGAACGGCTTTGCCGTGCCCTATGTACACAAAATGCAGCGATTCGCCCCAGCGCTACACTTGCATCTACGCATCCTGCATCTTGACGGCTGTCGCAATTTAACACACAGCACTTCATTTTACTAGTTTCTACGCAGTCTTCAACTCAAAAATCACTCACAAATTGCAAATTAACACAATTTAAACTGATTTTTCACATATAATTAAATTTCTCTTTCACTGATTTGTAAACAAAGGTTTGTTTACAAGTTACCACAACTGTCAAAATCGGCAAAACCAAAGTAGCGGTACCACTGACGGCGCCACCTCTGTTCGCTGCACCGTGATAGATCGCGATGTAAATGTCGTGATAATTACTGACCGTGTGACAGGGTCCCTAACGTATTCATTGCAACTCTTCGCAAAATTCCACTCGGCCATTTTGGTAAAATTTCGACGGCATATAGAGGCAGGCCGACGAATTTAACAAGTTTTCTGCTTCAGACCAACATTTTTGTTGCGAATTTATTGAAAAATAGTAATTTGAAGTGTTAGTTGTGAAAAAGAACATAAAATAATAATGGCTCGCTATACTCAACGTCCAGAAAATGCTCTTAAAAGAGCAAATGGTAGGTATTTCCTGCGATAGCATGCTGATTTTGATGTCGACGTCACATAATTTTATATTCATGGTATACAGATGACGAAACCCCAAATTGTCGATATGCGGAGGTTAAGCAGCATATTGAACCACAAATTATGCATATACATAAATACAATCTATATGTATTACTACTTATAATTAGCATGCAATTTTAGAGAATTTACGGTAAAATTAATGTTATTTTTTAGAGTTCATCGAAGTTGGAAAGCCGTTGCGGGCTTTGGATACTCTTCAGGAGGTCTTCCGTAACAAACGGTGGAATTATGCCTACTCGGAGACCATAATTGAACCCCTTATGTTTAAATATTTATATTTATGTGTGGAATTAAAGAAATCGCACATCGCCAAGGAGGGACTTTTCCAATATCGCAACATGTTCCAGCTCGTGAATGTGAATTCTTTGGAAAATGTTATCCGTGGATACTTGCGTATGGCTGAAGAACATACTGAAGCTGCACAGGCTCAATCGTCGGCTGCAGTTGCTGTTTTGGAATTAGATGACCTGGACAACATAGCTACTCCGGAAAGCATTTTAATGAGCGCTGTTTGTGGAGAAGATGCCCAAGATCGTTCTGATCGTACAATTCTATTGCCATGGGTAAAATTTCTATGGGAGTCATACTGTCAGTGTTTAGAATTATTGCGTGTCAATACGCACTGTGAAGCGTTATATCACGACATTGCTCGTATGGCGTTTCAGTTTTGCCTGAAGTATAATCGAAAGAGTGAGTTCCGTCGTTTATGTGATAAATTACGAAAGCATTTAGAAGATATTTGCAAGAGTACTACCCAAACTACTGGTGTGTCAATTACTAAGCTCGAAACGCAGCAACTATGTTTGGACACTAGGCTTTATCAGTTAGACTCAGCCATTCAAATGGAATTATGGCAAGAGGCTTATAAGGCTATTGAAGATATACACGGTTTAATGGCTTTGTCGAAGAAAACTCCGGTTCCAAAAACTATGGCAAACTATTATCAAAAATTAGCGATGGTTTTCTCCAAGGCTGGAAATCAACTTTTTCATGCTGCAGCGCTTCTGAAGTTGTTTCAATTAACACGTGAACTAAAGAAAAATTTAACGAAAGATGATATGCAGCGAATGGCCTCTCATGTTCTTATTGCTACCCTGTCAATACCACTGCCATCAGCACATCCTGAATTCGACCGTTTTATTGAAGCCGATAAGAGCCCACTTGAAAAGGCTCAAAAATTAGCAGTATTGCTGGGCTTGCAACAACCCCCCACAAGGGCATCGTTGATTAAAGAAGTTGTAAGTATTATACATGTACACTATTTAAATAGGTTTTACTTATACATTTTTATATTAAAGGTTCGACTCAATGTACCGCAATTAGCTTCAGAAGAATTTAGAAATTTATATAACTGGCTTGAAGTTGACTTCAATCCATTGAATTTATGCAAGCGGGTACAAACAATTATTGACGTAATAGAAAGCGTTCCTCCAGAGAACAATTTGCTCGCCCCCTATATTAAATCTCTAAAAGATCTTACAATCATGCGGTTGATAAGACAAATTTCACAGGTCTACCAGAGTATTGAATTTAGTAGATTGCTACAGCTAGCATCCTTTTGCAATATTTTTGAGCTCGAAAAGTTGTTGGTAGAATCTGTACGTCATAATGACATGCAAATTCGCATTGACCACCAAATGCGATGCATTTACTTTGGTACTGATCTAACCGAGAGCCAAAGGGAAGATCATCCCGATGGTCCAACTCTGCAATCAATGCCTTCTGAACAAATACGTTCTCAATTGGTTAATATGGCGACTGTTTTGAATCGTGCTGTATCAGTTGTTTACCCCAATCGGGAGAAAGATCAACGTGCAAAGTTACGTGCTCAGATGGTGTATCACTATCACGAAATTAAAGATCGTGAACATCAGCGTATTTTGCAGCGTCAAAAGATCATTGAAGATCGTAAGGAATTCATTGAAAAACAGAATAATGCTCGGGAAGAGGAAGAAGCCCGACGTTTGGAAGAAGAGTCACGCAAAGCAAAACTGGCCGAACAAAAACGTTTGGAACAAGAAAATGAAGAACGAGAACGAAAACGACACCAGAATGAAATTGAAGCTATAAAAGTTAAGAGCTTAAAGGTACGTTTTTTGAAAAATTGCAATACAAAAATGTGCCAAGCTTATAGCTTTAATATTTTTTCCAGGATAAAATGCAACAAATTTCTCAAACAGCTCACGGCAAAAAGATGCTTTCTAAATTGGATGAAGAAAGTATTAAAAAGTTGGATGCAGAGCAAATTGCAGCCCGAGAATCTGAAGAACTACAACGTGAACGCAAGGAATTGCAATCTAAACTTAAATCTCAGGAGAAAAAGGTCGATTACTATGAGCGTGCCAAGCGCATAGAGGAAATTCCACTTTTCGAGAAGTATTTAGCAGAAAAACAAGTTAAAGATAAGGAGTTTTGGGAGGCACAAGAACATACACGCATCGAAAATGCCATTGCTGAACGTAAAGACGCCGTTGCGCAGCAAGAGAGGTTGAAGCGTATGTATGCCGATCGCGACGTATTTCTAGAAGCACTTAAAAAAGAACGTGCTTCCTTATATGTTGAAAAATTGAAGAAGTTTGAAGTGGCATTGGCCGAGGAACGTAAACGCTTGCTAGCACATCGCGCGGAGATGCGTAGACAAGAACGTCGTCGTCAGTTTCTGCGTGAGAAGGAAGAAGAACGCTTGCGCAAAGAAGAAGAGATTCGTCGAGCAAAAGAGGAAGAAGAACGTGTTATTGCAGAAGCGTTGCGCAAAGAGCGAGAAGCTGAAGAGGAGAAGCGCCGCATTCAGTATGAAAAGCAGCGAGCTAAAGAAGAGGAAGCCGATCGCCGCATTCAGGAAGATCGCGAACGTTTATCCCGCGAATTTACTTCAGACCGTGATCAAAACCGGGATAAGGGCGGTGAAAAAGATCGTGATCAATGGCGTATGCGCGGTGAACGCGATCGTAGCGATCGTGTTGAGCGTAGTGATCGTGGTAATGCATCTAACTCGGAATGGCGTCGTGAACAACGACCCGAACGTGGGGAACGCTTGGAACGTGGTGAACGTATAGAACGGGGAGATCGTCCTGAGCGTGGAGATCGTCCTGAGCGTGGAGATCGTCCTGAGCGTGGAGATCGTCCTGAGCGTGGTGATCGTCCTGAGCGTGGAGATCGTCCTGAGCGTGGAGATCGTCCCGAGCGTGGAGATCGTCCCGAGCGTAGTGAAAGGTACGAACGTAAAGAAGGTGAAGGTGGCACCTCTGACTCTTGGCGGGTGCGTCGAGATCCCGAGACAACGGTGCCGCGAGGACCAACTCCAGGTAGCGGCCGCGATCAACGAGACCCACGCGATGGTCGAGATGTTGGTGATAAGTGGCGTCGTGGTGGTGGTGGTGGTGCTCCCAGCGGCGCTCCCAGACGTGATGATCGTGAAAGTCGAGATGTGGGAGGCAGCAATTGGCGAGACGCTCCACGCATTGAGCGCGATCGTGATATGCGTGACAACCGACGTCGTGATGATCGTGGAGATCGCGATCGTCGTGATGATCGTGGAGATCGCGATCGTCGTGATCGTGGTGTTGGTGGTGTCACTAAAGATTCCGGAAATTGGAGAACAGAACGTCCCGCCCCTCGCGAAGATAAGGAGAAAAGTGCTCCAAAGCGTGAACCCCAGGAAAAAGGTAGGAATCTAAATTTTGCTTTTGTTGGCTTTAATTGTCATCTCTTTGTTCCAGAGAACAAAAGTGGTGAAGATGGAGAATGGACAAACGTAAGGCGCCGTTAAAAGAGAAAGTGCTAAGTTTACACGTTTATCACATAATCACATACCAGAGTAAAATTTAATGTTTAATACAACAGTTATTGCTGCGAGCCACAAAAAAAATAATCGCTAATTAATACTTTATATCATATAGCCATTTGAATCGTAACACATTTATATTTTTTAAAATTTGACCTTTAATTGTACTTTGCGAAATTATCGTTTACACTTGTGCTTCGCTGGGCCAATGTAGTTTTGGCGTAAATTGGCCCATGGTATTTTAATCACACAATGCTATGGATAGAAAAAATATTTACAAATTCTTTAATCTTCAATAAATGGATATAATGAAATGAATTCTTTACGACATTAAAAAAAAAAAAAAAAATTTGGGGTCGCAGGTTCATCTCACAAATTGGGAGGAAAGCGAGAAACCCCAATGTTGGTGTATGTCTGAATGGCCAAGATCCAGTGCTGACTGTGGATATTGGAGCGTCATATATCATTATTCGACCTGATTTGGCCACTTGGTATGTGAGACCACTACCTGGAGCAAAGTTGCAGACTGGAACTTGTGAGCGCACCCAAGTGATAGGAGAAGTACCATTGAGGTAAAAATTGGGGATGTGGCCTCGTACCACAAGTGTGATGAACATTGTGGATGAACTCGTAATCGGGGTTGAATTAGCCAATGCATGAAGATTGACCTTCGGGCTATGATCCTGACAAATCGGTTGCGTTAGGGTTGGTTACGACAACCAGAACTGCATCAGACGGTTGCTATTAGAGGATGATCCGAAGATTCCACCAGCAACGGAAGGGAAAAGAGGACATCACCACAAGGAAGTGGTCGTGGCAAGCCAGTTAGATGTTCGACAGGCAATGCTTCCGGAAGGAAGAGAACCACTGAACCACGTTCTAATGGTGATAAGCCGGTGCCCGCAAATGGCTGCGATTGTGGTAGCAGTCGGTGCGCTTCAAGCGAAATGTCGCTGCTGTTGTTGTTGTTGTAGCGGCTACAACAACCCAGCCCAGATCGGTTAGTACCTCAGTCGTTGTCGTCAAGCTCCACTAACGGCAGCTCTAGGAAGCGTGAAGCCTCGACGGGGTCTGTCCACAGGGACAGGGGTGTTAGCGTGGTGGGGTTAAGAGGGCATGAGAAGAGATGCTGTGAGTCATGGGGCGACTCTTCGCATGCCGGGCATTCATTTCGAATATCTTCGTTTAGTTTAATCTGCTCAGGTATGAGTGCAACCTGCTGCAGTAACCAGAGCGTAGTTGGGCTATTGTAGTCCGAGGCAGACGAAGTTCTGTCTCGTCCAGGTCTGGTGGTTGTGTGCCCAGAACGCCATTCACAGGTCGGGAGTCTACATAACTCGAGACTGTCTCTCTGTGAATGCCGTTCAAGGCCTGTAATGGGGAAAGGACACCACCCTGTGGAACCCCCTTTTTTATTTTCCTCGCTTTACTCGATTTGTCTATAAAAGTTACCGACGAGTGACGACCACTCAGATAATTCACCGACCACCGTTTGAGTCCCTTACCTCACCGCTGGTAAAAAAAAGAGGCGCACTTTTGGCACGGTTGACCTACGCTTAATCACACCAGAGGCGAAGTTGCAGGTCTTCAGATGCTCTTCCCATTTCTTCCGCTTATGTACGTTCACAAGTTGCCGAATCTCCGAGTTCAGATCCCTATTGCGGGGATTACCGGGATCGGCCTGACGAAGGTTGCCGCGAGGGTCCGAGATGCATCCCGCTGGGATGAAGCGGGCTGCAGCAGCAGTGACAATCCTGCGGAACTTACGTTCACCTAGGTGAACGTCGGTTGGTATGGGTAGTGCAGGGAATGTGCTTTCAGTAATATCCGCGAAGTCTTTCCAATCAGCTTTAGAAAAGTTGACATAGGTCCGGTGATCCGCGGAAGCAAAGTCGGCTGGTTTATCAATCGAGATGATTATGGGCAGACGGTCTGATGCTAAAGTCAGCATAGGTTGTTGTTGTTGTAGCAGCATACAAATTCCCCAAAGACTTTTTGGGGAGTGTTGCTGGAGTGACAGTCCTTGGCCAGATATAAATCTGGGTCGTTCCGGTTACGTAGACCCGACTGTCGTGGGATACGCTGTTTATCAGACCAGCGCTGACTATTGTTAGGTGTGGCGAGCAGCAGTTGCCCATAATCCTGGTGGGTGCGTCGTCGTTCATTGTGCAGAATGTCGAATCGTCTATCTGCTCAGCCAATTGTGTTCCCCTACGATCGTTTGACAGGCTTGAATGCCAAAGATCGTGGTGCGCATTGAAGTCACCAACTACCATACGGTTTTCACCTCTGAGGAGCGCACCTATTTCAGGCTGATATCTTGCCGGGAAGCTGGTGGCAGGAGTTATGTATGTATATATTAAATATTTCGAGCTCGAAATGCCTGATCGGATAGCAATTCCCTGACATTCTAGGATGGTATCCCTGCGGTCGATGTCTGCTTCGATAAGACGATACTGCATGGTGTGGTGCGTGATGAACGCTAGGCCTCCACCATTATCTCGCTCGCGATCTCGACGGTGCACGTTGTATCCGACGCAATTCAAGAATGTTGAATTGCCGTGCAGCTTCGTCTCTTGGACCGCAGCTATTAATATTCCGTGCCGACCCATGAAGACCGTTATCTCCTCGATCTTGCTCTGGAGTCCGTTACAGTTGAATTGTAAAATCTTCGTGTGCCTAGGGAGACTTATTGGAATGTGGGGTGTTAGTGATGTGTTTTGCCGTGCCGCCACATGCTGTGCTCGAGTCCGCTGAGGCTGTTGCCCTGTGGTGTGGTGTAGTGTATTGTATTGTGTTGTGGTGCGGTTGTGTTTGTGTTGAGTTGCTCAGGCGGACTCTGTTGTGCCGTGGCGGCACCACGATTGGTGCAGCAAGGGGCCATGTAAGCAGTGGTCCATTGCCTGTGAGACGTGAGGCCTGAGTAAACTCGGAGGTGGCTCCATCCATTGCATGTATTGCATCTGACGGAGGTGGAGTTGTGGTGTAATCATCTCTGGTACACGCAGCTGGTATATGTTTCTGGCCCAGGGTTTGACTCAATGCCAGCCCTGAGCAGAAGTATGCGAAGAAGAAGTAGCCCTATGAACGTACAACTTTTGAAGGATTTCGCCGACCTAAACGGGGTTAGATCGCCGAAACAACAGCCTTTGGCGCGGTAAAACCCGAGTCATTCCGGTACGTAGAACCGGCTGTCGTGGGAATGAGGGAAAGGTCGTCGTCGCCAAAGGCAAAAAGTAAAGCCCGACGAAGTTGACATCGGTGGAAGAGCGAGATGCGTAGAACGACTACGGAAGTTTCGGTGTGAGGACTCGGATTTAAAAGTTTTGATGTGAGGATTCGAGTTGAGGAAGCGAGCTACCAGGAAGGAAGTGTCAGCGGAAAGACCAATCGCAAAGAAATACTGTGCACAATGGGACAGTTTGAAGATTGTAACTGGTGACGTGCATCCTGACGTTCTTAGCGAGTTCCACTGAGGTCCGAAAGGAAAGCACCTAAGAATACAGAAAACCCTAGAGAGGATTAAGAAGAGATTCTATAGGTTTGGCTTCCGTCAGTCGATCAAAGAGTGAGTAGCTCCAGGATCGAAGCCTGGGAGGCATGAAGAGAGGGTATCCATGAGAAAAGACATGGTCTGGTCGCCTCGAGTGGCGGCACAAGTAGGGCCATGTGAAATGGTGCACTCCCAGACATATATCGGAAGCAATGTCCAATAAGGCATCGAACCGGTAGGATATCCTGGAAGGCGATCTGGTATTAAGTAAAGATACCCCTGTAAAAGAATTATATGTGCAATACTTCAACTTCAACTAGTCAAATGAAAAACCAAAACTAGATCTTTGATGTTTTTTCCCAATAGTTGTATTCAATAACTCTGTGGTTGTTCATACTTTCATACTTGCATGGTTATTCTTTTTTTTGTACCTTAGCGCACTTGTGCACAAGGGTATTATAACTTTGTTCACATAACGGTTGTTTGTAACAGGCAAAACAAATCGAGATAGATATAGACAAATGTATACATAAATGATCAGAATGAAAATAGAGGGGGGGGGGGGCTCGACCCTATTAATATGGCATTTCAGGGTACTATTTTATATATATATAAGGAAAATTTGAAAGTTAGGGGGGCTCGAGCACCCCCCTGCCCCTACCTGGCTACGCCCATGCATGTGTATATCTTGGTAACCGCTGTACCAATTTCTTCCAAACTTTGCACAGTGGTTGGCCTTGGAATAACATACGAAATGGCCGAACATTTTTAGAATCGGACAATAACCACGCCCACATCCCATATAACGGTAATTTAGAGAAATACGACATCTTCGATAAATCAGTAAATATTAAAGCTAATTTATTCAAAATTGATGCTTGCAACAATTCTATACCAAGAAATACGTTTATGATAAAATTTTGGAAAATGGGCGTGGCACCGCCCACTTATAATCACATATATGTATCTCGGTAACCGTTCTCCCAATTTGTACCAACGTGGTACGGTGTGGTTATTGTGCTTGCCACATAGAAGCAAAACATTGAAAATTATTGAAATCGGACTAAAATTTCGGCCACTTTTTATATAACGGTAAATTTCAGAAATGCTTGTTGTCTACAATTTGGTGGTGGATTTTTACTGCAATTTTCTTAATTTTCGCTTGTGACAACTTGTGCACACATAAGGTAAATAATAATTTAACACAACGACATGATTTATAGAAGAATTTGCATAATAAAAATGATTATTCATGCGTTCAACAATTACGCGGTTTTTTTTTGTTCTCTTCGTTGTTTACTTCTTACAACAAAGATGGCGTCGAGATTTCGAAAGCTAAAAAATAACTATTTTCTTTCTTTCCCTAAGGCGTGATCTTGTGTCTTTCGTTCATGCTATGTACAGCCTTGTACCGCACTTTCAATACCGGGTCTGTTTGAGTGTCCCTTTACTTCGGTTTTGAATCGAAACTGTGCATGTATGCATTACTTCGTTTTTCTCATATGCATTATTTCGAGTTTCAAACGCAAGTGTGCATATGCATAATTTCGGTTTTTCTAATATGCATTATTGCGGTTTTCAAATGAAATTGTGCATATATGCATTATTTCGGTTTTTTTCGTATGCATAATTTCGGTTTTTTTCATATGCATTATTTCGTAGGTTGGTGTTATGCAGAAATTTTGTTTGGCAAACTGCGTTCAATTGTTGTTGTAGCAAACTCGGAGAGAGCGAGTTTGGCGACTCTCACAGCAAACTAAAGCTGATGTCACATAAAACTTTTGCTTCGCTTTACGTGACAGATTCGCTTTGACAGATAAGATGAATTGTATGAAAATGCACAAAGCATGCCACATAAATCGTTGAAGCGGCAGCGCGAAGCGAAAAGATGGTCAACTCCCATCTTTTTGCGCGCTTTGACAATCAGCCGGTTNATCATGATAGCCATGAAAACCATAATGAACGTGCAACCCTGTGCCAAACTCGACATAACCACCTCCGAGCAAACTAAGCAGCCGCCATTTAATTTGGCAAACAAAAGTTTGTCTGCATAACACCGACCGTATGCACAGTTTCCATATGCATAATTTCAGGGTGCCAACCAAAGTACCACTGACGAAAATGGTAGCAGTTTTAGTATTAAGTACCAAAAATGGCAACCGTGATGTCTAACGTTTGGCGATTTTATTATCGATTTGTGTTTGGTTGCGGAAAGCGCAAAGAAAAACGAAATTAATTCATAAAATCCGTGGGAGCAGCTAAAAATCTTTAAAAAATACTTTTTTGTTTTTCTTGTGAATTTGCGTTGATTTAAAAAAAAAGTCGAAAGTTCGTTTAGCAAAAATTGTTTTCTGTAATGAAAGCTCTGTACCACTAGCGGCGTGTACAAAAAAAGGAGCCACGAATGGTAAAGGTGGACAGGGCAATAGTGGAAAGACGTGCCGACCAAACTCGAGATAAAAAGGAAAGGGACATTTTCAGGCGTCGTCGCTGGTTTCTTAGTATACAGATTTGTTTGCGAATCACGACATAGAATTGGTTTTTAATCGCAAATTAATATTTAACAATAACAATTTTGAGATACTTTGGACCTCGTAAAAAATTAAAGAAATTGTCTTTAAAGATTTCTCAAAAAAGTGAACTCATACTAAATTTCATAATGACTAACATGGAGAAGCAACATGAAATGGTAAAACGCAGTCTGGTGCAATTCGTTAGCGCACACATTCCAGGGGCTGATTTTAGCGTAGTCGACGAAATAGTTTTGCAGTACATTATATCTATTTTGGAAGAAGCTTCACAGGACCCATGTTTCGACGTAGAGGGGTTTGTCGAAATGATGGGCGCCTATTTTGCCGAGTTTCCTTCCATTGACCAGGGAATCATTTGTGAATGGATATACAAGTTAGCAGGCGAATTGAATGAAATGGAAAAAAATCAGGAAAATCGTAGTTCAACAAATTTATCACTGAAGTAATAATTTGACGTGATATGTATAGTCGGCATAAATATACATAATTTCATATTCCCATCTTTTTTTTTTAGTTCCTTAAGCCTATCAGATATTATACCCGAGTCGAAGTTACGTGCTCGCAATGCTTCCAATTCTGAGAAAGACGAGTTCAATTTGAGCGCTAGTGGGGCAGCAGGGGCCGGGACCAAACGTGCGCAGCATTTGTCCGAGACCAGTGATGGTGGTTCCACTGATAGTTCGAGCTGCGATTATTATTTGGACGAGGCTGAAGTTCTACAAGAAATGTTTCCGGACACGGCTTACGTAGAGGTCAGTAAAGTATGAAAATAAAATAATAGAGAATATGTAAGATGTTTACTGGGCTGAAATTTCCAATAATGGACTATTTCCTATTTCAGGCAAAGTATAGCGACTGTTTTTTAATGAAATTTGCAGGGGGTGTTGAGGAAGTGCTCATTGGCCGATATCTTCAACATTTTGTGTAGAAATGCTAACAGTTTTAAAGTTATTTATTGTTACATTTTCCCATTTCTTCACATCTATACTAATTATATAAAGAAAAGTCCCATTTTTGTAACAGGTAATCTCTTAAAATTTGGTACGTAGTTAGCTTTTTATCTAGATTAGCACATATAATCCTTTTTCCGCGAAGTGGGCCATGGACCGATCTATTAAAAAAATCGTATCTATGGTCCGATTTGATTAACACTAGAGTGCACGCGCTCTTTTCACACAAATGCACGCGTGGCCTACTATAGAAATAATAATAATAATAATAATAATAGATTGGCGCTTACATATGTTAGTGTTTGGCCGAGCTTCTTCTCCGACTTGTGGCGTGCGCCTACAGTTTTACGCCCGCTCCGAACGGCGATTGTATTTTTATGAGAAGCTGTTTTTCATGGCAGAGGGGTGACCGCTGTTAAGAAAAAACCTAATTCTAAATTTTTTGTGCGATGTTGCTTTGACCAGGACTTGAACCCAGGCGCTGTGGAGTGGAAGCGCGCACTGCTTACCACTGCACCACAGCAGCTACAGTAGACCAACTTAAAATGTTAATAAAAGTTGTTTTAGATAACATTTAAATGAAAGGCTCTATTCCAAAACGACAAAATACAAAGCATCAGTCTCTTTTATTTCCAAACCACACTTGCGCAACATTTTTGAAAACTAGCATCTAACCATGGTTGCGCACATTTGGCATTACAATCTGCTAAGGTTTAGAAATAAAAGAGACTGATGCTTTGTATTTTGACGTCTTGGAATTCACCCAAACTTATAGTTACAAAGATATACTCATTTATTACATTTACGATCGCAAACTCCAATTCTTTCATAGCAATTAGGAATTTGAAATAAAAAATAATTTTATTATTTAATAGAAACAAGTAATTTTTAGCAAAAAAAAACCGACTTCAACTCCCATGTAAAAAAAAAATATATATATATATATCTCATGATCCACTGATCGGATCTCAACCAGATTAGTATGGGACCACCTCTGAGACACTACCTTTCCGATGCAAAAAGAATTATCGAAATCGGTTGACGTGGTCCAAAGTTATGCGGTAACATACATAAAAAAAAAAAAAAAAATATTCCGACGAACTGATAACCTCCTCCTTTTTTGGAAGTCGGTTAAAAATAAGAATAATTTTACTACTTAGTTCAATGTCCTACATTTTCTTCTTAAACCAATATTACTTAAAAAACTACATATCAGTTTTCGTATCATACTGAGTGCCCACTTTTTTTTGGACGAACTTAGAGCTCTGATACAATAGGTGAACCGACCAATTAAAATTTGGTATTACATCGTGCTGTACTTCTTCAGATGCACCTAAGAGCATCCCTATTCTAAATTTTAGTTGTTTGGGAAGTGTTTCAATGGATGTATGGCGATTCAAAAGAGGTTTCAATGAATCGAGGGACTATTCTTGTAAAAAGTTATAAAAGTCAAGCAACTCGTCGGCAAATTGAATGCAGCGGGCTTTCTTGGAACTGCGCCGCTCTAACATACGAAACTTTCACGCGTGTACTCTAGTGTTAAAATTTGGTACGTAGGTATCTTTTTGCCTAGATAACCTTATAGGATCCTGTTTTCCAATTTTCATGCAGTTTCGAATATAAATAGCTTTGAGCAACCATTATATCAAGAGTGAATTCGTAACTGGGCAAGTTTTTTTTTCGCGACAATAAGAAACTACGGATACAGCCAAAGTTTTATAATAATGTACATATAATGTATCTATTTGGGCGATTTTTTTTGCGGCTATTCTTTTTTTCACTCCTAACTCAAAATTTTGTGGAAAACACATAAAAAAAAGCTCCCTGAAATTTTGAACCCTTAGTTTTAACATGAAGTACTCGCCCAAGGCGTGGAAAGATTTCCCATATAAAATACACGTAAACTTTGAGTAAAAAGTCTACAGCTCAGAGGAATTTGATGGTATAATCTTCTTCAATGATGGGTTTTCTTCAGAATTGAATGCTCTACAAAAGTGTCCATAACGGTTTAATCCTAACTCCCACCAGCGAGGTAGTACGGGTCACTAAACCTAATTTTTTCATGAAATTCTCGTTTTTTTGCCCCTATCTCGAAAATAACAAGAGCTACAGAAAAAATATAAATGACAAACTTATACGACTTTCAATTTCCTACAAAAAAGTGCCAAAACANGCCCCTATCTTGAAAATAACAAGAGCTACAGAAAAAATATAAATGACAAACTTATACGACTTTCAATTTCCTACAAAAAAGTTCCAAAACACAAAATCGCTAACATCGATATTTCTTGAGATAGCGGCGTAAATCTTTTCGATCAGCTGTTTAGGCTAAGCCCAACACGTTGAGTACAGGTAGCGCAAACATTTTCCACTGNCCTCAAAATTTTGTGGAAAACACCTAAAAAAAAAGCTCCCTGAAAATTTGAACCCTTAGTTTTAACATTAAGTACTCGCCCAAGGCGTGGAAAGATTTCCCATATAAAATACACGTAAANACTCAAAATTTTGTGGAAAACACCTAAAAAAAAGCTCCCTGAAATTTTGAACCCTTAGTTTTAACATGAAGTACTCGCCCAAGGCGTGGAAAGATTTCCCATATAAAATACACGTAAACTTTGAGTAAAAAGTCTACAGCTCAGAGGAATTTGATGGTATAATCTTCTTCAATGATGGGTTTTCTTCAGAATTGAATGCTCTACAAAAGTGTCCATAACGGTTTAATCCTAACTCCCACCAGCGAGGTAGTACGGGTCACTAAACCTAATTTTTTCATGAAATTCTCGTTTTTTTGCCCCTATCTCGAAAATAACAAGAGCTACAGAAAAAATATAAATGACAAACTTATACGACTTTCAATTTCCTACAAAAAAGTGCCAAAACACAAAATCGCTAACATCGATATTTCTTGAGATAGCGGCGTAAATCTTTTCGATCAGCTGTTTAGGTTAAGCCCAACACGTTGAGTACAGGTAGCGCAAACATTTTCCACTGGAAAAAAATGGGGGAAAGTTGCCAACTGTTGAGCTGAGCGGAACTATTCAACTGTGCGTTTCTAAGACAAATAGCCAACGGTTGGGTAACAGCAACGTCTTACGAACGCGCCCATTTTCTTCATATATAAATAAATGCACATCTTTTTAACACACCTCACAAAAAGGAGAAGTTCGTCGGAATATGTTTTTTTAGTTTTATTTTTAATTTTTTATTTTTTATTTGTATGTAGAGTCAATCAACAAGGTTTAGGTGCAGCGAGTTTTTTTGCAATACGGGCAACTGTTTTTTAATTATTTTATTTTTCGAAACTTTTTTTACAAAAATATGGTTAATGGAGCTCCAAACCTTGTGCGAAATTGAAGAAAATTCTGCAAATTTTCATTGCACTTTTTAATTACACTCTTCTGAAAATAGTTAAAAAAAATTCCTTTTTTTATATGGAGAAAATGAACGACAACTTCAACAAAAAAATTTGGCAAAAATCATTGGTAAGTCCTACCTACCTCAGACTTGCACATTATTATATAGTAAAATTGAATGGGCTAAAAAACTGCTTAATCCGTTTTTTTCTAGAGAATGTAATTAAAAAGTGTAATATTTTGATGAAAACTTGCAGAATTTTCTTTAATTTTTCGCAAGGTTTGGAGCTCGGATTTTTGGAGTCTTGGTCGTAGAATTAATCATATTTTTATAAAAAAAAAATTGGGAAAAATAAAACAGTTAAAAAACAGCTGTTCGTTTTGCAAAAAAAAAATCGCTGTACCTAAACTTTATTGATTAACTGTATATATGTTACCGCATAACTTTTGACCACGTCAGCCTATTTCTATAATTCTTTTTTTTTAAGGAAAGGTGCTACCTCACAGGTGGTCCCATACTAATTTGGTTTAAATTCGATCATTGGATCGTAAAGAAATCAACGACAATCTTAAATTTTTATATGAGAATTGGAGTCGGTTTTGTTTTTTGCTTAAAAATTACTTGTTTACTAAATATTTTACAATTAAAGCATATAAAAGTGTTCTTTTAATAAGTTTCTATTCGCAAACAATCTGTAAACACACAATTGTTGAGCGATGGCCGCGAAGTATGTAATGCCAGATCGTTGAAAATGTAAATACATAGATTTCTTTAACCAAACATACTTCGTTGAGGTATTACGAAATATAAAGTATTTACAATATATTAATTTAAAGGTAAAAAAATATTTTATTACAAAGTGGAAATCGGGCGGATACCCAATTATATAATTAGGGGATTCCATTAAATACTTTTCTTTTCTCAAAAAAAGCTTTGCCCTTTTTTTTTTGGGAATTCTTGCTTTGCGTTGCCATGAACCCTGAGAAAATGATGCGTTCTTTATATGAGAATGAAACGGAAAATACTTCAGCACATGTTCATATATAGAACTTAGAGTAAGTGCAACCTTTTTTCGAGAAAAGAGAAATTAAACTCGGTAAAGTTTTGAACTGTGTAAAACTCGTAAGTTTACGAGGCTTTTATGGGAAATGCTATTGTGAAAATGTCTAAATAGGGGCGTAAAGTGGCTGCTTCACAGATCTACCAGGATTTTGTGAAACAGTTTTTCTTTCGTAGTATTTTCCCTAGCAGCCCGCCATCTTGTCTCTAACGCTATTGGCTAAAATAAAATTAAAAATGCCGAAAATCAGCAGAAAAGCGAAGTTAGTATGGATGAAATTCATTATTTCTATTCACCTATTATTTTTCATTTGTTTTAAATATTATATAATAAATTTTATTATAACATTTTCCGCTCCTCGGCAACACTGAAGTTTACGAGGTCATTT